CGAGCAGTCAAGACGAAGACAATTATTCTTTCTTAAATGCCCTAAGTCATTAAATGCCTTAAAGACAAAAGTCTTGAACATTTGCTTCTAGAGCATAAATTTGAAACGAGCAGATGATCTTATTGCCAATATTAGTGTCTTCCCTTGGTCAACACTGTTATGTCTGTAGTAGCGGATGTTTTATTTTATCTTATCCCAGGGTCGTGAAACAACTTCTGCTGAACTGAAATGGGTAGCGGCATTTCTTGATATACTTATTACTTTGTCTCTGACCCCCTCTTGTACGTTCTGTATAAATCCGTAACTTGTTTAGAATTAAGTGCGAAATAACCTTGACTCTAACTGCTGATCAAGATACTGATTCCCATGAACAGCATCATTATCATTATTGTCGCCATGATCAGCCACCATGTTCATAATCGTATTCATCATCGTGATCACCGACATCAGTTTATTACCTTATGATTGACAAGTCGTACTGGTATTAATTCACCTCTTGGCATAAATCTCCTCCTTGCATTAGATGTTTTGATTGTTTCGTTTTGATTGATTGATTCGTTATCGTTTTCCTTCAAACACTTATATAAAGAGATGGCAGTTGCGCTTTTCCTGTTGCATTTATGTTTTTTTAGCTTTCCATGTCAAGTTTTTACAAAAATGTGCGAATTCAGTGATGAACTAACGGCATTACAAGCGATTTATGGCAACGATCTTCATTGCAGCTTCGACCCTGCAAAGTAATCTTGTAACTTTTTTTCGGTTTCACTTTGTCTTGTTTTGTCGTTTAGAAATGAGCATCTTCTGCTTATGCAAATCAGCCCTGAAGTTCGGGCGGAATGCAGAAGGTTTACTTCTGTTTGCATCTGCATCACGGTATCCGCCAAGGTGAGCTGAACCTGAGCAGGTAGTACCTGTTTTGTCAAAAATTTTTGAGTCATTCGCAAAACGTGTCCAAACTATCCCAGCTGGGACTTCTCACTCTGGAGAAGCAGGCAGCTGTGCACCATATCTCTTGCACTATATCTGAGCTCCAGACCATCTCGAAATGAGTGAGTTCAGTGATTTGTCTTAGAATACCCATTTTAGCCGCTTATACCTAGTATCGTTTGCAATCATGGTCTGCGATTTATGAGCACCGATTAGTATCACGAAGAAGATCGACTTGAATACAGATTATTGTCTTCAGAGTCAGCTCTGCATTAGTTGCGACTGTTCCAGCTAGTTTAAACAGGATACCTCTGGCCATTCCAGTTCATTGGGTCCATCTCTTCCTCCCGCTTTATGTCACCAGTAAATATGAGCCATGGGTCCTTGAATTTCTTCACTTGTTCCACCGCTTCTTCATTTATGTGCAGAGTGCTGCAGGCAGGAGAAGAGAAAAGCGCTGGGTTTCTGTTTTCAGACACATTAACACCCATTCAGGCCACGTCGCATGCGGCTGCAAACTTTTCCAGATAGCGCTGGAGATCACATTCAGAAGATACTAACAAGATAAGGTAGTCAGCAGCCTCATCTCGACATCTCTAACGCTGTTGCACTCTCCGTTCCGGCTACGCCTGACTGTTCTATCCATGTACCACACAAACAGAACAGAGGATTGGACTCATCCTTAGCAGATACTATTGCTGGCCTTCAAAGGTCTCGACTTAAAGTCATTTCCTCTGACACAGCATTTACTATTATCTAGAATCTGGTCATAGGCTTTCTCCAGGTGAAGGAAGATAGAACGGCTATGATTTCATAGCAGTGTGGTGTAATGCGAAAATCTGCTTTGACCTGACCTGTCTACGCCGATCTTCCGGTATCGTAGAGTCGAGTATAACGCTTAACCGCTATTCTGAAAAGTTTGCGTAGACATTTCCGGGGAGCCTCACTAAGGTAATGCTTCGATAGTCTCCCTTCTTGAACAGGGTTACCACCGTACCAATTTGACACATGCATTATTTGCCCGTAGATCAAGCATTTCCGTACGGAATTCATCAGTTGCAACAGCCTTGCAATTTTTCAGACATTTTACAGCTTCTATGACTTTATGAATTTAAAAATGATAGCTGTATTCTCCTCTGCCGGACGAATCTTCCAGTGTTTGCTCAGAATTAAGAAGTTTCTCACAGTTCTTTCGCTATCGCCGAAGTATATTCTCTTCTTTGGTAAGAGACCATCCAGGCTTGTCCTTCAGGACTCTCAGACCGCCCGTTTTTCCACGTCGGAGAAACTGGGTGGTCTGCTAGAATATCTTGTTGCGATCTGAAAATTTGACTGCAGCCTTTCTTTGAACTTTCCCAGTAATCAACTTTCGCTTCCGCCTTGTGTGCTTGTTCGTACTGATTCCGGTTTAGGGCGCTTTCATTTCAAGTCACCTCTTGAATGCGGCCTCTTTCAGTGACATCCGGTTGGACCTGTTGTGTCTACCCGGAAATTCGTTCCTTGCACTTAGGCGGCCGACAAACCCGTTTGCAGCGGAGGGTACCAACAACTGTTTGATGATCGGTGACAGCTATGCACCTCTTATCGCGAACATCCGTTATAGAGCGTCGTAATACGGTTATTAAATCGATTATCGACTTCTGTGTGCAAATTTCACTATACCATGTGTGCTTCGGTGTTCGAAGGTGTTCGTAATAGACAGTCCGTTGTTTGTACCAGACCGCAATAATTTCATGCGGTTATTGTTGAGGTTGCTGTAGCTGTTCTTTCGAATCACGCCTTTCCACTTTTCAGTGTCTGCTTCATCATGTGTTTTAAAATCGCCGATTAGAATTAAAGTCACCGTAGTCGGCACGTCATACAGGACACACTGCACTTCTCAAGAAAAGAATCATATTCTCTCTTTAAATTGGGCGCATAGACCTATACCAAGGTCGAACTACCCTTCCGCCGACAGGCTTTGATTCACTGACTCAGTCAGCCAGGTTGGGTTCTATAGAAACTCCAACACCGGCCTGAGCGCGTGTCATGATATCGACACCTCAGTAGAATTGCTTCCACACACAGAGGTTCAAGATTCCAGAGCCTTGGTGCTTGGTTAATGAGAGTCCTACTACCTCTGGCTAGTACTCTGTGATTTCATCACTCTCCTCCTGCTCTGAATGAGGAGATTTCCGATTTGCGCCTGTGAGCTGACTGTCGGCAACGTTCAAGTGACACTTTAGGCTATAGTTACATCACGCTTTTGCCTCCTCTGTTCTAAACGGGATTGTTGGCTGATATCTTCTTTTTCTTGTCGATCTTCAGCCGCCGTCGTCTAGCTACTAAGCTCTCAATGGCTAGAAGTCATGAAAGAAGTTCTGGTTGCTGTCTTTTCGCATTCTTTGGTAACTTAGTTCCGCATCAGCCTGCGCAGCCCTTGGTATCCCGGGCAACTACTGAACCGGCGTAACATTCGGTAAAGGGAAGGTGACTGTGCTTTGCAAGAGAACTCTCCATTGTCCCCAACCCTCCTCTTTTCTTTAGACTTGAGGCTGGTTACATCGTTGTTGGTCTATAGCTACTGAGTGTAAAGTCATCATGTCTGTGGTACTGTTCTGCTATGGAATGTGGCTGTCTGTTTGAAGCTGAATGTTTTTGAGATGTCAGCACACAGCCAAAAGTGTATCTTTAAAACTTTTTAGTTTTGCTTTTGTGTTCAGTTCAGATTATTATAGCTGGCGTTGAGTACTACTCTTGATTTTTCTTGTCCCAGTGTACTGTATTTTATGCTATGATAAAATTTCAAGTATAACTTATTTATTATTTATTTGTAGTACCCATTGGAGCCGCCAGTCGTTGCATTTACTTCTCCCCGGGGACTGACAGAAGAAGAT